CAAGAGTGCTCTGCATGGAGTCAATCACCCTCTGGCTGTTCCTCTTGATCTGCTCCATCTCCTCATCCTTCTCTGCCAGCTTCCTGTCAACCTCACCTTTGATCTGGTTGAGCTCCAGCTGAACACGGAGAATCTTGGACTCCTCATGCTCCAGTGTACCCTTAAAAAATCACAAACAGAGCAAAAGTTACTTCTTGCTGAAACAAAATCAAAATTAATGTATTTCATCATATAAATGGTCCGATACTGAAATCAAGAGTTTACCTCAGCTTCCTCCAGTGCTGACTGAATTTCAGACTTCTCAGTCTCCACAGTCTTTTTGGCCTTCTCCAGCTCATGGATACTCTTTCCAGTCTCACCAATCTGTTCAGTCAGGTCTGAGATCTCCTCTATAGAGCAATCAAAGCCAAATACAGTAACTTAGACTATGCAGCATATATCTAGGAAATGGTATGTGCCAAGGCTTTTACCACCCCAAACACTACTACACCACTAGAGATCAAACACTGACACTTACAATTGCTGCAATAGTAAATATAGTAAGACTGACATATGTTGCATGTTCTTGTTCTTTCTCTTACTGTAATAAAAGTAATCAGACCAAGGGCTAAGTCAAATTCAAAAGGTACAATTCATACAAGAGAGTTTTAAACACCATACAGGTTCATAAACTACTCTTGTGAAGGTCAGAGAAGGACCTACGCAAGACAAGTTACATTTTCAAATCCAGTAAGATTGACATACGTTGCAGGTTCTTGTTCTCTCTCTTCAAGGTCTCCAGATGATCCAGAGCCTCCTCATAAGAATTCTTCATCTTAAACAGTTCAGTGCTGAGAGAGCGAGCCTCCTTCTGGGCTCCTTCCAGCTCTGCCTGGCCCTCTTCATACTTCTGTTTCCATTCTGCCAGGACCTAGAATTATATAGATGAGTAACACTGATTACTTACTAAAATAGATTTTTGTTTCCATCAAATCAATGTGGTCTTGATTTATTTTTACCTTATCAAAGTTCCTCTGCTTCTTGTCAAGGTTGGCAGCCAGACCATTAGCTCTCTCCACATCAATCATGAGGTCCTCCACCTCACCCTGCAGCCTCTGTTTGGTCTTCTCCAAAGACGCGCACTTTGAGTTCACAGCCTCAATGGATTCCTCAGCATCCTGCAGGCGTTGGGCAAGCTTTTTCCTGTCGAGTATTTTTAAATTAAATTCAGCAAAAATATGTGAAAATACCAAATTAAAAATCTATTTATGAAAGAAATAGTTGAAAGCTTTTACGTACTTTGCCTCCTCCAGCTCCTCTGTGCGCTGGATAGCATCAGTCTCATATTTGGACCTCCATTGAGCCACCTCACTGTTGGCCTTGGACATTCCTCGCTGCAGCTCAGCCTTGGCCTCCTGCTCCTCCTCAAACTGCTCTCTGAGCAGATCACAGTCATGGCGGGCCGACTGAACAGAATGGGCTAGGGCATTCTTGGCCTGTTAAGCACACAGTCCATGTCAGAGGTACATTGACCTAATGTATATTACATCCAGATGTTATGTGGATAGGTGAAGATAAAACTCCAAAGAGCCATGTTTTGGGAGCATTGTCTCTGAGTGCATCATTTTTTACTTTTTATGTTCTTTTATGAATTTAGATGTCCTCTCAAGAATTTAATTTCTCTTTGACAATATTCTCATCTCTGCTCATTCACTCTTACTCTTAATAACAGCGATCAACTGACCCTTTAATATTAGTCTTGCGATAAATTCCAAACCTTGTCTAGTTACTTTTAATTCTAAAGCAATACCGTGATTTAACTAGTTTGACATTCTCAGTATTACAAGGATAATGGATAATGTGTGTATAAAAATGTTTGCTGGTGCATATATATATACATGTATTTTGTTTGTTGGTAATAGAACATGCTACTAAATGGAGAAACCGATTCATACCCTTTAACAGTCTGAACATAGGAGACCAACTTTTCTTACCTTCACTTCCTCCTCAATTTGCCTCTTCAACTCCTCAATCTGCTGAGTGAAGGCCTGCTTGCCCCTGGTCAACTGGGAAACGAGAGCTTCTTTCTCTTCAATCTGGCGGGAAAACTCACCTGTGTGACAAAATGTTCATGTGTCATTAATTATAATTTTAATTATAGTTAATTAAGTATTTCTACAATACAGGACACAATAAAACATACATGTTGCCATTTAACGTGTTTATGTATAAAACACCTCTATTACATCTCTAATATAGTTAACTCACCATTCTCCGTCTGCAGTCTTGCCTTCTGTGTGTTGATGTCATTCAACTGGCGGACATTTTCATCATTTTTGGCTTTGAGTTCACTGAACTGGTCTTCAAGTGTTCTGCACATTTTTTCCAAGTTACCCTATAAACGACAAAACATTATGTATTAAAAAACGTGAAATTCAACGATGCAAACTTCTCTGTCTAGCAGTTTATTAAAGCCATTGTTACTGAATTCAATGATTGGTGATGATTTAAACACAGAGATGTTCGCTATTCTCTTATACATATTATTTCTTCCATAACCTATGCTTTTGTATTCTTGAGATAGTAAAGAGGGAAATCCCTCACCTTAGCTTTGGCAACAGCCTCCATATTGCTGGTAAGGTCATCAATCTCCATCTTGTACTCGCTCTTCTCTTTCTCCAGCTTCTGCTTAACACGCTGGAGGTTGTCGATCTGCTCTCCCAGCTCTGCAACACTGTCAGCCTGTTTCTTGCGGAGAGCTGCTGCAGTAGCCTCATGCTGCAGGGTTGACTCTTCAAGATCACGACGCAGCTTCTGGAACTCAGCCTCACGTTTCTTGTTCATCTCAATCTGAGCAGCTGTTGCTCCTCCAGCTTCCTCAAGCCTCTCGCTGATCTCTTCAAGCTCCCTGGAGAGATCAGCCCTCTGCTTCTCAACCTTAGCCCGGGCAGCTCTCTCAGCCTCAATCTCTTCTTCCAGCTCCTCAATACGAGCCTGGATTTGAATATAGTAATATCAAGAAGATTTATTAACTGTAACACACTCCCAGCATGTTCTTTTTGATTCACTGGGTTTACTATTCTCATCAAACACGTTACCTGGAGTTCCTTGATCTTCTTCTGAAGCTGAGCGCCAAGAGACTGTTCATCCTCAATCTTGCTGAGGAGCTGGCTGGTCTCAAAGTCTTTCCTTGATGAGGATACCAAGAAAGCTGTTATTGTCACAGTTTGTACTGTCAAATTTGATATGTGAGATATTGAAAAGAGGACTGATAACCTTAAACAAACCAAAAACGTACTTCTTGATTTTCTCGTCAGATTGCTGTTTGTCATTCTCCAGATCCATTATGGACTCCTGGGCCAGTTTCAGATCTCCCTCAAGCTTCCTCTTGGCTCTCTCAAGGTCCATGCGGAGCTTTTTCTCTTGCTCCAGTGATCCCTCAAGCTATCAGATGACAGTAATGATAGTTGATTTGAGCCGTTCAATAGACAGCATCAATATAATTTAATCAAGCTTTTAAGAAAATCATGAAATGTTTACATTATTGGTTTGAACTTGTATTATGGAAGGTCAACTTTAAAACACAAGCTACTTCACACTAAGAGCACACTATTTTTTATTACATCGTCCACTTGCTGTTCCAGCTTTGTCTTGGCCTTGGTCAGAGTGTTGACTTTGTCTTCCTCTGCCTGGAGATCATCAAGTGTTTGCTGGTGGGACTCTTGGAGGGCTTTCTTCTCCTTAGTTAACTTGGCAATAGACTCATCTTGAGATGCCATCTCCTCTGTCAGGTTTTTCACCTAAAATGATGTGAAAGGTGCATTAGTTCCATCATGTTATGTCCACATAGTCTATATGCTTATACAAATGTATGTAGAATGTTGTATGTAAAATAATTTGAACCTTGTTTTCTGTGGCATGTTTCTCCTTCTCCACTTTAGCCAAGGTGAGCTCCAAGTCATCAATGTCTTTCTTCAGCTCAGAGCATTCATCCTCCAGCTTCCTTTTCTTAGCAGTCAGCTCAGCATTGATTTCCTCTTCATCCTCCAGTCTCTCAGTTGTCTCTTTGAGTTTGGCCTCGAGCTGGATCTTACTCTTAATAAGCCCTTCACATCTTTCCTCAGCATCACCCAGACTCTCAACTTCCTATAGTACATTTTGAATATACAATAACTTTGTTAGTTTATTTTCTTTGTTAAAAAATTAAATATTCAAGGGTTTTAGTTAATTGTTATTTGATCTACAACTTTGCTAAGACACATAGACAATAAGAAGATTAATTATCCCAACTAGATATATGTAAATGTAAGCAACAGTGTTCCATTAGTAAAGTGTTTATGTGACAGAATCACACTTTCTTTTGGTCTCTACTTACTGCTGCCACTTGCAGTTGCAGGTCATTCTTTTCCTGCATCAGGGAAACCATCTTCTCCTCTAGTTCCTTCTTCTTGGCCAAAGCAGCAGCTAGGTCTGTTTTCATCTTATCATAGTTCTCCTTCATCTGCTGGAGCTCCTTCTCAGTTTCAGCACTCTTTAGAAGAGGCTTGATCTTGAAGTACAGTTTCAGCCACGGCCAGTTCTTCACATTCATGAATGAACGGACATTGTACTGGATGGTATAGATAGATTCCCTTTAAAAAATAAAAAGAAAGTATAATATTATGACAGTATTATTTTGTCAAACATTTTACTATGTACATTGTACTGCATATATATGTATATTGATGTTATCGTAATAGACACTACAGTTCAGCTTAGTGTACCGTATCAGAATCCTACCTCCTCTCCATCATCTTAACAAACTCCTTCCTCATCACATAACCTCTGCAAAGAGCCTGAGTCATGGTAACCAGTGTAGCCAGTTTCTCATCTCTCATCTCCTCAAGAGTACCCAGCAGACCAGCTTTGAAGAACACCTATTTTGTTTCATTAAAAAAAAAAAACTTAAGGAAACATGCATACAACAGACCAACAACAAAAGTAACATAGTCAATGAGAATGTACGGAAGCGTATTGCATTCACTTGAAAAAAAAAAAAACTCCGTTTTTTCTGAGTAATTTATTTTTTTGTTTGGTTTTTTTTATAATTTTTTCTGTTTTTCTGACTAATTCTTTTCCTGTTTTTCTGAGTAATTTTTCTTCCTGTTTTATGGAGTATTTTATTTCTGTTTTTCGGAGTAATTTATTCCTCCTTGTTTTTCGGAGTAATTTTTTCCTCCTTGTTTTTCGGAGTAATTTTTTTTCTGAATTATCGAGATACTTCGAACTCCCGCGAGAACCTCCAACCTGCAAGTGACTCCTGCCCGCGCATACATGCCCCATCTTCGACTGTCTACCGTACCGGGTCATTTAAGGTAAGGCATGTAATTAGTTACACACAGGGTGTGATACTCTAGTTAGTGACTAGAGTATCACTGTATCCTTCTATTGACTGTATCCTTCTATTGTAAGCCTATCGCGTTAGGATATGCTAATAGTATATGCGAACACTATAGAGACATAACATGAGTATAGTAACACAGAAGTTGTTTAACATGGGGCACGTAAGCATGCATACAAACAGAACGTGGCCAGTAGACTAGTCACTATATATTGACATCATTGACGCACCATGACGATGTTTTGAGTTGCTGAGGTTGCTGTGGTTTGCTTATGGGCTCCCTCTCCTTTGCTATTTCCTATGGAGGCAATTTAATATATGCATGCATACCTGAAACACAGTGAGGAAGAATCGTGCATGAAACATCCATTTTAAACAAAATAATTTTAAGTTTTCATATAATTCGACAATATCATGACACAATTGGTCTTGGCAGTTTTAAATGTGTTAATTGTTGGTGCAACAAATATTTATATAGATTCTGCCTTTTTCCTACATTTTTGCAGTGCCAGCAATGGCTACATCCTCAACCCCTGCCCTCCCACAAAGTGATGGTCTGTGGATATTTCTTCGCAACAGAGGTGTTTCTGAGGAGAGTATTCAGAAAATGCAGCAGGATCATGTAAGTCACAGGGAATGTGTTCCTGCAGGGCTATATTCATTTTTAAAATAATTTTCCCAACTATATTTTTTATATTTTACTGAATTTCAAACGATTCTACATGTACCTATACATTTTAGACAATCAAATGTGGTTCCAGAGGTTCAAATATTTTCATTTGTCAAGCATCCCTTCCAACAATGCAGCCTGGATGGAGAGACATCACTGTTACACAAATATACAAATAAATATACAAACTATTTTGATATGATATGTTTTAAAATTATGTTATTTGAGATTTTCAGTGTCAAATGTATGTGAAGTATTCTACACCATCAAAGTAAGATTGATTCTTAAACTTTTTTGCCAGTATGGTAATGTGCAACAAATGAATCAAATTTGATAACTTAGATGCAATGTTTACATCATGATCATACAGATGATGTACATGGTATAAGAACAGTTAGAGCAACACTGTCAATATATATCATGCTAAACTAATACATTGTAACATTTATAGTGTTGAATTATTTGTGTCATAATATGATATTAAGTATATGGAGTAGAAATGATAATTAATCCCATCTGACTGCATTTGAAAACAACTGCATGACTTTAAACTAAAACAATAGGTGAACAGGATTAGGTACCCTTTCAAGTTACTGTTGATGTATTATAAACTTAGCAGAAGAAATAAATATCTGATGTTTATATCGGCACACTACATTATTGCCAGCTTCAAAAGCTGTTTTTGTACTGTCCATTGTGTTATCATCTGCATTAGGCATTCATAATTGGTTGTCCTGGAATTTAGCACGGAACTAAATAGTCTTGGAGATAATATAGTTTAAGCTGTGTCATGTCTAATGTATACTTTTTGTTTTTATTGCAGATTGACAGCTCGATAATTGGAGAAATAGATGATGCCACTATGGCCTCCTACATTCCAGCCTATGGTGACAGGATTGCCACAAGGCGTTTCTGTATGGAAAAACAGAGAAGAGGTGGAGATGATACAAAAAGACTGTCCTTATTCCAAAAACTTAAAAAAAAAATGGGCACAATGAGCAACAAAGACAGCGATCAAAGTTTTGTGGAGGAGAATACAGTGCAACCAACAAATATGCGTCTAAAAAGTAATAAGAGAGCCTGGAAGACAACCAGAAAAATAGAATTAGCGTGGATACATGACAACAGACAAGTCAGAAAACGCAGTGGTGGAGGAACCAGAGTTCTTGATATTAACAAGAATGCCACTAAAACTGAGATTCTGGCACAAACTAAAAAACTGTTTTTCCCTAACGAAAAATCAATAATGGGAAAGTGGGAAGAGTTCAGTCACGATGTAGTTGACTTTCAGGAAGCACAAGTTGATGAGGATGTTAGTGTGGGAGACTACTACGAGACACACAAATTGGGGTTATTAAGATTTTATTTGTTCACAAAGACCCTGACCAGTGGAGATGACCCAGAGGAAGGAGCTGATATACAGACAGATGTGCAACATGAAAACACAACAGAATCTGGACAAGAGAAACACACAATGGAAGAGATCGAGCAGCTGACACAGAAAAGACATAACAGTGAAAATCAAATACACACAGTCGAAGATGATGAGCTAAGCACTGCCACAATGTCAGCTGTTGTCTCTACTGCAGCTGTTCAGATTATTGATCTTACATCTTTGTGTAATACATCAGAGGTCATTTTTGGTCCTTTGACAGGTGGGACGTTTTTAGGTGAGCTTGATGATACACTCATACATGAGCCAATCCTTGCAATAGAAGACGAACAAATAAACACCCCCACCTACACCTCAACTCCTATTGATGCTGAGACAGCTTCTGCTAGACCACCAAGTCCTGCCACTGAACTTTTGCATGTGACTGTGAAACTTCACAGAGTGACTCTCTTAGATGAACTGATTGCCCAATTCAAGGAAGAAGCCATGATGACCTACTCTGTGAAATACAGCTTCATTGATGAAATGGGGGCAGATGCTGATGGTGTGTCCAGGGATGTATACGCTGCCTTCTGGACAGAATTCCTAGACTGTGCAGCAGAAGGTGCAGATGTGAGGGTGCCATCACTCTCCTCAAAATGGCAAGAGGAGGAATGGAAGTCTGTTGGCAGGATATTGGCCAAGGGACTGAAGGACCATGGGTATTTTCCATTTCGGCTGGCACAAGCCTTTACAGCAGCAGTCATATTTGGTGAACACTCTGTTTCACCTGATTTACTGTTTGACTCCCTGATGTTGTATCTTAGTCAGTCTGAGCGTGATCTCTTGTCCACTGCTTTGCAAGAGGCTGTTGTCGGCGATGATGAGGAAGAGCTTCTTGATCTTATGGATCGCATGGGAGTAAGAACAGTACCAACGCAAGATAACTTGAGAGCCGTGCTTGTCCAGGTAGCCCACAAGCAAATGATCCAGCACCCAAAATATGCACTTGACAATATTGCAGAGGTTGCAGGACCAATACTCAGGAAGTTTTTCCCCAGTGTCCAGGATATGAAGAAGCTGTATGAGGACATTAAACCAACAACACGAAAGGTGATTAAGATGATAACAGCTTCTCCAGCTACTTCAGCAGAGAACCAAAGTTTGCGATTTTTACATCAGTACATAAGGGGATTGGATGAAATAGGTCTCCGGAAGCTGATGAGATTTCTGACTGGGTCTGATGTCCTCTGTGTAAAAGAAATTCAAGTCACATTCACCTCTTTGGAAGGGCTAGCGCGGCGGCCAGTTGCCCATACTTGTGGCCCAACTGTGGAGCTGCCATCAACTTACAACAGCTATCCTGAGCTTCGAGCTGAAATGGAGGCTATACTTTCCAGCAACACTTATGCAATGGACATTGCATAAGTGCCAGCGATGTAGGTTTAGACTGTGTGAATGTGGGATAGAGCATGTAAGGAGAAAATGTGATTAGCTCAGGTGCTGTGTGATTAGTGCAAAATGATTTTTATTACATTTCAAGATTTTATTTTTATTATATCAAGAAACAAAAACTTACACAGACTTACTTCGACATTTTTGGTTATCAGAGCATGTAAAGAGAATATGTGACTAGCTCAGGGGCTGTGTGATAAACACAGATTGATTTTTTTAATTTTGGATATTTTCTTTCTATCATATCAAGAAACAGTTAACAATTTACTTTGATTTAAGACACTTTTGTTATCAGTCTAGGATGAGAATGTTTGGACATTAGAAATACTTTTGTTATATTTTCACTGTTAAGTCATAATATCATTTGAACCTCTACCTCATGTCAGATGTTAATACTGACAGTGTTTGTGAATCTGATTGTTACATTAAAAGGTACTTTGAGGTGTTTTTTTTACAAATAGAATCACAGGTTGCTGTCTTATTTTGTACAACGTCTTCAAACAGACTGTCTTTACTGTTGAGTCATGTAGTTCAGGAGTCCTGCTCTGTGAGACATGATATGTTTCCACCCACAATCTTAAAATTGAAGATGTTCCTTTTGTTATGGGGTGCTTGTATTGTGAAATGTTAAAGTTATCAAATGTGTGTAAACTCAAGGAAAGATGCATGCCCTAATAAAAGATAATCATATGCTTCATTTGCTGAAAGTTTAATGACAACTGCATTTCAACATAAATTTGTAGAATGACATTTCATTCAAATACATAAGAAAATGATGTGTGATCTGTTTATATGTTTGAGAGATGACATGATAATCACCAACTAATTTTAGATGCATACATATTCACCAAATTTTGTTACATGTAATTGTTTTGCTGCTTTTGCTGTTTTGGACTGTAAGCACTTATTTTGATGTGTAATTTTTCCATAATTAATAGAAAGTGGATATACAAAGCACAAAGGGGAGATGTCCATAAGTAAAGAGTTCACAGTTATTTACTGTTTAAACACAATACCCTATACAGTGAAATTCATGGTCCATAAGATTTTCTACCCTTATGTGGAGGCTTACATCCAGTCATTTGATCCAGTAGAGCAGGTTGTGATCATTAAATTTGAGCTTGTATGTAAGCACGTAAGAACCTGTAAAGCTCAATAGCTTCTTCTGGAGAGATGGGTGGATGAAGACTGTTTTCTGCCATGGCAAGGCAGCAAATGTCAAACACTGTATCATCACAGGGATACGGTCCTCTCTGAAGGCATTCCTCTCTGCAGGCTTCTATCTTTTGTTGGGATACCTCTTTCAGGTACTCTCTGGCACCAAAAAGTTGGGGTAGGGTGTACATCATCACTGGGCGCCCACCTGGAGACACAGCATTTCTGCATGGGCGAATTCTGTGAGTGTTCCAGAGGTGAACAACTTCCATCAGTTCTCTCTAAATAAAAATAAAAATAGAAAGTGAGAAAATCAGGTCGCATATTTGCTATACCAACTGCAGTAGATATTATAATGCATTAAACTAGCCAGTAATGTAGTTCAAATCAGCTCCAACTTAAACATCTGCAATCGTAAACTATCATGCAATTAAAAACATCAAAACACTGACAGGGAACATTTTATACTTTTCATACTTTAAGTACTTTGAATATATACTGCTGATAATACTGTCCTTTTACATTAGTAAGGTTTTGAATAAAGCCTACATGGAGTGAGCTCTTTTCACTAATATCAGTAGGCCTATGATATTAGTAACACCACACTAAAACGAACCCACTACACAGGGTGGTACTACTGCTTTTGGTGAAGTAAAACATCTGAATACTTTAACCCCTAAGCAGGTGTCACAGTATTGTTCTGACATAATATAGCACTATAGGAAAAAAAAACAACATAAACGTATTGCAGTTCTTACCTCTATTATTTCAAGACATGTGAACTGAATGAGACTTTTGTCCAGGAAGTCACCAGAAAAGGAGTCTGAGTCTTTTAATTCTTGGAACAGGTTCATCCAGAACTGTGCGTGTTGCCTTCTTAAAAAGCCCCACCAGTTCTCTATTCTTTGGTTGTGATTGCTCGATCCATACAGATAACATCTGTGCGAAAAGTTGTCCAGATGATCGTGCCTCAAGAACATCTGCATTTGTTCAACGTAACAGTTTTCGGTTCCGAGGTCCGAACGAATTCGGGCAGCAGTTCCATTCCTTGATGACACCTCATCAATGAAGTATTGCGCGATTATCTTGGGATCACTATTAGTAGAGTAAGCATGTAGCCAAATCACCATTCGTGAAAACCCATCTATTGCACCATTGATGCAGATCCCGTACGGTTTGAGTTTATCATACGAGTCTACATGCCACAAAAAGTTTGGGCCTGGATTCTGGTACATACGCCGCCGAAGGCGATTCCGGCGCCTCAGCTGCACACCGTGCGGATCCATTATTTTCAGCAGTCTCCTGATCGTCTCTTGAGTCACCACGTAGCCAGACTGAATGCATTTCAAATGCATCATCTTGTATCCATGGAGCATGCCATATCTGTCCAGCTGATCCTGGAGAAACACTGCTATGTCTAGCAGATCTGAACGGGCTTTCCTTCGGAACAACCGCAAAGTCCTCAGGTGCCTGCGTAGAGTCGACAAACTAATGATAATACCATCTATATGACTTAAAGACAGGACTATCTCCCAGTGTCTTAAACCCAGATCAAAGTAAAACTTGATTGAACTAAACAAGTCAGTCATGTTTGTTTCCGTTGTATCGAGCTCTCAATAAAGGAATGAATGCGTCTATTGTTTCAAATGCTCTCTAAACTCAGAAAAAAATTAGTCCGAAAAACAGACCAAAAAAAAATTACTCCGAAAAACAGAAAAAAGAAAAAATAATAATATTCAGAAAATTTGAAATAAATTACTCAGAAAAACAGAAAAAAATTACTCAGAAAAACAGACAAAAAAATTAATTACTCAGAAAAACAAACCAAAAAATAAATTTTCAAGTGAATGCAATACGCTTCCGTAAGAATGTACCTTTGTGTGCCCAAATCTATACTGAGTGTGGTCCACATCAATGGAGCCCAGCAGCTTCTCTGAAGCTTTCTTGTTGTCAATGAACTGTCCCTCAGGGATGACACTGGCATTCAATACTTTGTATCTACAAGAGAAAATTATGTTGTTACTTATATTTACCTCACTTCTAAGCCTGCTGTTTTACATCATAATAACTTCAATTAATATAAAAAGTAACCTCTGCTTGAAGTCAGCGTAGAGGATTCTGCTGGGGAAACCCTTTCTGCAGATTCTGATGCCCTCTAGTACACCGTTACACCTCAGCTGGTGGATGACCAAGTAGTTCTCCATAAGACCTGCACATTGCAAACTGATTGTATAAAAACATTTCCTTACACTATACTTTTACACATAGTGCACAAAACTGGGAAATGTTCTTCTTACCTGGAGTCTTTGATTCATTAGGAATCAGGCAGCGGACAAAATGAGGGTGAGTGCTCCTCAAGTTGGTCATCAGTTTGCCCAAGTTCTCCTGTGGATTAGCAACAAAAGGTAACAGGTAATCAGTATTTTAATCTGAAGTATTTTAAGATAAGGTTTTTAATTGTTATAAAAATATGAAACAATACATACCCTGAAAAGAGCAGACACAGTCTGGAAGGAACCACCCTTCTTCTTTCCACCCTTCTTGCTGGCAGCAGCCTCTGTTTTGCAAAACATTGAATTTAATTATCAGTACTCAATAAATAACACTGTAGTTTTTCGTCTAAATGAAATGAAATGAATATATTACTGCTGAGCAGTCATCAACATAATATAATGAAAAATTCATTATGTTTTTTATACCATGGATATTGGTCGGGACAATTGTATTATTAAGCTTAAGTATGCCACTATACTGGGTAATACTGAGTTCTGGATACTCAGAGCTCGGATTTTTTACCTTCAGCTCCAGCATGAACTGCATACAACATACACAGAAGTTTGTTGGAAGACTTCTGGTAGAGCTGAACGACTGAGTCATTCAGGGGGTCCTTGTTCTTGTCCAGCCAGCCAGTGATATTGTAGTCCACTGTACCAGCATAATGAACCAGGGAGAAGTGAGCTTCAGCCTTGCCCTTTCCAGGCTTTGGCTTCTCAAAGGCCTTGGTCTTGCCAAGATGCTGATCATGCAGCTTGTTCTTGAAGGTTGTGTCAGAGGCCTTGGGGAACATGCACTCCTCTTCGAGGATGGAGAAGATGCCCATTGGCTGAAGGGTAATTTACGTTGGTTTAGGTGTTGAAAAACTAAACTGAGAAAGTAAAGATTTACACATGCATAAAGAAAACCATGTCTAGTGGTTACTTTTTACCTTCTCAATAAGCTCAATGCAGGCAGCCAAGTCCATACCGAAGTCAATGAACTCCCATTCGATACCTTCTTTCTTGTACTCCTCTTGCTCCAGGACAAACATATGTTGGTTGAAAAACTGTTGCAGTTTCTCATTGGTAAAGTTGATGCAGAGTTGCTCCAAGCTGTTGAACTGTAATTACAAAAAGGTATTTATAATTTCATGGCAAAATAAGGTTGAACTTTAAAACACTTCACATATTTTTTCAACAACTCACATCAAAGATCTCAAATCCAGCGATATCCAACACTCCAATAAAGAACTGTCTTGCCTGCTTTGTGTCCAACATCTCATTGATACGAATTACCATCCACAAGAACATTTTCTCATAGATGGACTTGCATAGAGCACTGACAGAATTGTTGACCTAGAAATAAGGATTTTAGTGCGTAAATATCTCAGAATATTTTCATATCAAAATATTAAATGAAATATGTCCCTAATTTCAAACATCAAATTTTCTTTTTATTACCTGTGGCACGGTCTGACCTTTGGTCACCATCTCGTTTCCGACCTTGACTCTTGGATAGCACAGAGCTTTCAGCATATCAGCTGAGTTCAGGCCCAAGAGGTAGGCGATTTTATCAGCCACTGATGGAGAGAAAGAGCATTAAGTACACATTAACTTGTGTCGTATTTTGCACATGAGACAACTTGCATGCAGGGCACAAAATTAGCACCAGACACCAGACAAATTCTTGTTCTTGCCTCACTCATCGGCCAAAATACAACATTAATCTATTGGGTGGATGGTCAAATTTGAACATTCACTTGCCATTTGGCCAGTGGACAAAAATGTCTGGCATGTTTGGAATGTATTATTTTAGCAATTACCCTCAGTGCCATCAGGTTCAGCCTGCTCCTCGCGCTGCTTCTGCTTGAATTTCATGTTGCCATGATGCATCACAGCTCCAGTCAGCTTGTAGATGTTTATCTTCTCCTCAGCAGTAAAGCCCAAGATGTCAATTGCAGTCTGCATTACACAGGAAATATTTAATTGCTTGAGTTTTTTTATCTTTTACTTTGATTGTTTATTCTTTTTAAAAACAGTGAAGCGTGATTTTACATCTGTTGCAATGAACTCCTCCACATCATCAATGCTTTTGACAGTGATTTCACCCTGACTGATCATTGGGTAGTCATAGGGGTTGGTGGTGATCAGAAGAGCCTCTGAAAGACAAGAAACAAAGTACTTTTACAAGTAGTCTTTTCATTGTTTCTAGAGGTCTAATTTCTAGGTTTAAATTTACTATTAACTTACCCAAGAGCTCAGCCTTGTGGCCAGTCATCAGCTGATAGAAAATATGGTAGCTCCTCTCAGCAGACAACTGGAAGGTTACACGAGACTTCTCCAGCAAATCTAAGAATAACAAATTCAATTGGAGACTGTACAATTTTGGCATTACAACATACTGTTAATATTTAAAGCCAGTATGTCAGCAGCCCTTCTGCAGTTTCCTTCTTACTGCCTTACTTCTGAAACCTATGATTGGAAGTATCTATCCATCCCTTGTCATTACTTTTTTAGTTGTAGTGAGCTGGTATAGGCTCCCACAAATAGGTAACTATATTTCACCAAATCATACACACACCCCAGCTTCACTTAATCATAGTCACTCTAATTCCTCTGTGTTATGGCAGTGCTGACAGACCAGCAGATGGTAGGCAGTCACTGTGTGGATGTATGTATCACTTTCCAGCTGCCCGCTGATATATATTACCTTGGCTGCAACCACACTATACGCATTCTAAAGCTTCACCACAACATAACAAGTTGTCTTCTTTAAACTAAACTGAACTATCATATCTCTTGTATCTAAACCTAAAGATGTCTAATATTATGCTGTACCATGTCCAAATTAATACTTAAACAAAGCTATTACTGAATGAACAAATCAAGTCAAGTCAGTGTTATTTGTAGAGCCCAATATCATGATTTTGCCTCAAGGGGCTTTACAATCTCTATAGGATACAGGAAGAGAGGAGGGACCCCTCATCCAGGACTACAGACATGTAACAGATGTAATGTGTACAGAACAGACTGACAAAGAAAAGTTACAGCATGGACAACCAGGAGGAAAAAATTATAGATATTGTATTGTAGTTGCACTGCAACAATAAAACAAAAATATATAATGAATAAAAGGTTCTTCCTTCAGAATAAATTGCAATCATTCTCATTCATCCTGAATGCAAATTTTCAGTTTGCCAGACTTTTACCATCTCAAGCATACATTTACCATTGATTCAACACAATGTTTTGCACAGATAACTCAATTTACACCATAGCTGAAACTTACATGTTTCAATATCAGCTGAAGCCAGCTTGCCACTAGAGCCAAAGTGGATCCTGATGAATTTACCCTGGACAACCAGAACAGTATTAGCATAACATTTCATGAGCGAGCAATTAGAAAAAGTCTCAGAAACCTGGATGTGATCACTTACAAAACGAGAGGAGTTGTCATTCCTCACAGTCTTGGCATTACCATAGGCCTCCAGCAGAGGGTTGGCCGCAACAATTTGGTCCTCAAGGGAGCCCTGCAAGAGAAGATTGTAGTTACATCAACTGAGCATCCAAAACAACTGTCCTCTCAGTTTTATCTTAAACAACCAATTTTACCTGCATCTTGCCAGGTGTTGGCTCAGCCTTCTTAGCTCCAATAGCTGCAATTGTTGCAAAGTACTGGATGACACGCTTGGTGTTGACAGTCTTTCCTGCACCAGATTCTCCACTGGGGTATGAGAGACAAATTATCAAGATTCTGCTTCATTATCATAGAGTTTTTAAATATTTAGCAGTTTGTTTTATACTCACGTAATCAGGATTGACTGGTTCTCACGATCTGAAATACAAACATGCTTTACATGAGTTCCATGTTTAAGTTTAATTCTACTTCTTTGTATATACACATTTTAACATTAGTATCACTGGTCTTACCAGTGAGCATGAACTGATAGCCATTGTCAGAGATGGAGAAGATGTGGGGTGGTGCCTCAATCCTCTTCTTGCCTCTGTATGCTCCCACACATACGGCATCATACACAGGAAGCCACTTGTAGGGATTCACGACAACGCAAAACAACCCAGAGTAGGTCTGTAATAGAGAGCATGAACATTGTGTTACCATTGATATATATATATATATATATATATATTATATATATATATATATACTTAAATATTTACATTACAAATACATTCAAGTAAAGTAAAAACTTACGTAGATCATCCATGATGCATAACGCTCTTTGAGGTTAAACAGCACAGATGGCTCATTGAGGTGGGTCATCATGGCCATGTCCTCCATTTTATCAAACTTTGGAGGGTTCCTGGCATGGATTTCATCCTCTTTTACAGTGACCGTCTGAGTAGAAAATAAAGTGAGATATTGAAAGACATTTCATTGTCACATTTCATATCAAGTTGTATCAGTTAGATATTCTATAGCTAGTCACCTACCTTTCCTCCCTCTGTCTCAACTTCAGCTTTGCCACCCTCTTTTTTCAGAAGTTTGCCCTTGACATACATCTCATTTGCGTCAGTCACAAAGACAGCAGTTTTGGCATCAAATGGAGCAGCCTGGGCCGCTATCCTCTCCTTTTCTGGTTTTC